TTTGTCTTGCACTCCCCCTCCCATGAATTGTAAGCCGCCCTGAGTCCCCTCAGGGAAAAGGGTGGCCTATAAATCACAAAAAAAAAAAACCAACAAAAAAACATAATACACAATGTAAACTTTTACTGAGCTCAGTGACCAAATTTAAACACAGTTCTACAAAAAGAGCTACCGAGCTTGGGAGGGGATGGGTGGGAGTAAAGAAAATCCTAGGAGAATTCCATACAATAAAGGGTGACCTAAAAAGCTATAAAATAAAAATGTTACGATATAGGAGATCTAAAATATTTGAAATGGTTTAAATTGCATTATTATTAATTACAGAATTTATTACAGGTTACTAAACTTCTGATAGAATAATTACTAAATCATTAAGATGATTAAGTAATAATCCTAGATATATGTGCCATAAAATATAGAAGATATATGTGCCACACATATAGAAGTTGCTGAGATTGTACCTAGGCTAGGGTTTTTCAGCTATGATGAAATGTAATAAACAGTGATGTATTTTATTTACATAGGATCATATCCTATATAATGAATAAATTACAACTACCCTTAATGTTGCAATGCTTTTAAACATTAGGCAGAGATCAAGAGGGTGTACTCTTCAGATCACGAACTGTAAATCTTTTGCTTGAAATAAATGTATGCATTCACTCTAACATTTCAACTAAACCCAGAGGAGTCACTAATTTACAAATGTTTTTGTAAAATTTTAAATCACGTATTTAAGTGTATTTAATTGAGAGAATAAGAACAACCTCTCTGCCAGAATCTGTTAAAATAATTATCACAGCAGTGGCTTCTCTAGGATCCAATGGTTTAATCAGCATGATGAAGCCAGTGTTATGAGGCAGTTCCCACCCCTTATCATGCTTGTATGATGTCATAACAGATGTACAAAAGAAGCAGAGTTGCCTCATAGAGCTTCCCTTGAAAAAAAAATCCATGGTAGTGAGACATTATCTCTGCAATGCTGTCATCCTTTCTGAGGTAAAGAATGAACATCACTTGATGTCTTTGGTATATAAGGCTGATGTTATTCCATGAAGTAATTACTAGAATTCAAAGCAATGAGTGATTTTATTGGAGAAAACAAAAAGAAATCTTTGGAGGGGGGGAATATCCTCTAATTAATATTTCATCAGTCTCATTCACTCATGTATATAGGCCATGCAATATAGGCCAATTGTAGTAGGCCAACATGACAAAACATCATCATGACATCGTAACACAAACTCTGTCCTTTGATACAAGAATCATAACATCACAGGTAAGATTGTAAAGGGAAGAGTTACATTAAAACATTATGACTTGGTTTAAACAGTCACACACACACACACACACACACACACACACACACACACACACACATTTTCTTCTTTGGACTCTTATGTGCCATGAAGGGATAAAGGGGAGGACCAGATTGGGGAGATCAAGATTTGAACCTTAATATTAGTCTCAGCCATGGAAGTGCACTCATTTTTAGCCAGTCATTCTTTTTCAGTTCAGACTCCCTGTTGGGGAGAAAAAGTAGAGTAGGCACTTCTACGTATACAACTTAGAGCATTTTTATTATTAAATAAATAAATCAGGCAATACAGGTCAGTAGACCAGTCAGATCTCCTGCTCATCTGTAGTTAGTGGCAACTTTTGTACCCCGAAAAGCCAAAAGTGCTACGATCTACAATTAAAGAACAAGTGATGTGTATATGTGTGTAATAGAGATTTATTTATGGGAGCTGAATTTTGTTTCTTCATTCTTAAATGACACAGTTTAGAAGATCTTATTGAAGTGAGCAGCCTTGTTTTTTTTCCATTTTTCTTCATGTATTGAAAACTTGCTTTGTTTAGAATGTAGCTTTTATCAAAAGTGGCAATGGTTTATTAACCTATCCTATTTACAGACCTGCATTGACACATATAAGAGGGGCACAACAGGTACAGACCTGAAAATCATAGCTGAATATTCAAAGACACTAGAAAACCAATCAAAAGCATCAAAACTACTGTAGTTTCATATTAAAGTTCATATCACATGACAGTATTGCCGTAGTAAAATCGTTTTAAAAGAAACTGTGTTTATCAACATTGCTTTCTTTTAGGAAATTTCATTTTTCAGCTGCAAGATGAATTTTGAGTACATTGTACATACAAGAGTAAATTTCTGTGTTATTAATGGCATTAATTTCCATATGAATAAGTTTAGACTTCAGCTCCTGTGGTCTGTAAGAACACACAGTGAAAAGGAGTTGCAATCCTAGATTTGCAGACATGGATTGTAAACCTCATAAAATACAAGACTTTTTCCCTGAGCGATTATGTATAGAACTAGCATGAAAACAATGACTCACTTGCAAAAGTAGGGATTTTTTTCTGCAATCATCTGACCCTGGGTGAGATCTCAAAAGCTTTTTAACAGTCCAATATAATTTGAGGTGATGATCACCACAAAGGAAAGTTTCTCAAATTTGCATCTTCCAGTTCTGATGGAACTGTGATTCCCAATCGGCATGCTGTCCTTATTCCTACCTAAGATGCGATTGTTAGGGAAGGTGGCTGCATCAAGCCCTGAAACCAAACTTTTAAGGCCAATTCAAAAAAGATAATAACCATTGTATATCTTGATAGTTAATAATAAGTTACTAAAAAACCTTGTTTCGTTCTGTTATCCCAATGTAAGTTTTATTCCACCAGTAATTAATCCAACTGCCCTTTCTTCTTGGATTTAGGGAACCATTAATGCATGGGTCTGTGTGCATGGGCACATACACAAGATTTGTGTTCAAAAAATGCTCAGTAAGAATTGCAGAACTGAAGGCCATTCCCTGACTGCCCATTGGTAATTATAACCCTGGGGCAGCTTTCTTATGCAAACTTACCTAGAATCAAAACCCACTGAACATAATGGGACCCCGATATGCCCTAGATGTGGCTACTGCTCAATGCATGAGAGCCGGTAGAAGTCCATCAGTTGATTTCCACCACAGGCGATGGATCTCAAGCCTATGGAAATGGGTGCGTATAGGATTGCAACACGGTCCAAGATTCCTCCATTATGCGCTACTCAAAAGCCAAGCCATGCGCGCAGGCCAGACGTATTAACCTTTTTAAACCAGCCAGATGTTCCGCTCCAGCTGTCGTCCCTAAAGTGGCTATTCTATCTAGTTTCCCGTTTTAGAAGCTTAGAAAGCGAGCGCCACCGAGCGCAGCAACGCCAGCCGCTCTTACCCCAAAGGAAAGAACGCAGCGCCCGCCTGTCCCGGCGACGACCCGCGCGTCCAGGATCCGGACTGCTGCCAGGGAAATGGATCTGCAGGCTCCCCGCCGTCTAGGCACCCAACGGAGAAGCGATACAGGGCCAGCCCACCGGCAGAGCCCCGCGTAGAGCGCCCAGCCTCAGCCCACCTGTCTGGGAGCCGCCTGCGCGCTTAGTCTTCTCCATCGCCAGCCCGCCTTGCCCTCGCGAGGCTGAGTTTTGTTGAGCTACCGTCGGTAGACCGCTGCAGAAGTAGAAAGGGCCAAGGGAACCTTGTTCGGGTGCCGACTCAGTGCCGGGGAAGGAGGGGGCAGCCGCAGTCCCACCACAAGATTGCAAAAGTTTCTTGCTCCACCCTGAGGCGGGCGGTGGGGGTCGCGAAGGAGCTCGCTCGCTCCGGGGCCCTGAATGAGGGCGCAGGCGGTCTGCATATTCATTAGATGAATAGAAAGTGGTCCTTTGGGCTGCACAGCCAGAAGCGGTGGGTGCCATTTCATTTCGGAATTTCAAAGAGAGAAGCAAACAAGTTTCATGCATGTCTTTAGGCACCCTTCCTGTTGTTGTTTTTAGGTTGTTAGATGTAAGTAAGGAATTAAGGCATAAGTGTGTCCAAATTCTAAGGAGACTGAAACATGTTCCATCAATTTTGTTAATACTGAAAGTTAATGTTCTTTAAAGTCCCATGGGAATATTAAATTTAATATTAAATTAAAGTCTTAGATTTAATCTTGGATAACTCTCAAACTAACTTTTATTATATCTATGTAAATTAGCAGAAAAAATAATGTGCAAGAAATGTGCCATAATCACCTTCTAAGTTATATAAATGATCTTTTAAGAATAATACTGGAACTGTTTAAATGTTTTTTTAAAAAAAATAATACATATGTTGAGAAATTTATTTTTACTAACATGGGTAATAGGATTTTTTTTTTCATTTTACATTTTATGTATCTCAGGAGAAATCACAATGCCTTATTCTGGAGTATATTGTCAGTTAATTCAGAAACTTTCCAACCTACAGCTCAGCTCAGCTCATTTTACATATTTATTTTCTAACATTTATATCCTGTCCAGATTAGAAAATCCAGGCTGCTAACGTCTAAATTACATTTACAAAAGAATAAAAATAGAGAAAATGGGGAAAAACCTCTTTATATGTCAGATTGTTGCAATTTAAACAGGAAATAGTTATCTCAGGAGCAAGAATCTAAAAGCCCTGAAATATACTAAAGATTAAGGTTAAAAGGATTCCAGTAAGTAACTGTGCTTTCAAATGAGAAGGTTGCATGCAGGTAGTCCTCGACTTATGACCCACAACTGCGCCCCAAATTTATGTTGTTAAGTGAGACATTTGCCGCATTTTATGATCTTGCCACAGTTGTTGAGTGAATCACTGCAGTTGATGTTAGTAACCTGATTGTTAAGTGACTCTGGCTTGCCCATTGACTTTGCTTGTCAGAAGGTAGCAGAAGGTGATCACAAGACCTTTGGACACAACAATGGTCATAAGTATGAACCACTTTCTAAGAATTTGAATTTTGATCACATGATCATCGGAATGCTTCAAAGATCGTAACCCAGAAAGCAGTCATAAGTTATTTTTTTCAGTGCTGTTGCAACTTTGAATGGTCACTAAATGAACTGTTGTAAGTCAAGGACTATGTCCATAGGCAATCTAGGGTGACAAATCTCTTGCCTGTTTTTTTATGCATATTTCAGTGCAAAGGGGAGGATGCTTGTCTTGAATAGTTTGCAAATGTTCATTGTCTTGGTAACTATTCTATGTTGTATGCTGTAGCTCTCAGTTTCCAAAAGATAAGGAGCCAGTCTTTTGTTACTTAGTGGAATGATATTTTAGCGTCCAGAATACCTTATAGAGTTGGGACAGCAATTGAGAAGGCCTGCCTCTGGATCCATTCCAGAGGGGAGTTGCTCCCGGTTTGGCCTGGATCAGGTGAACTGGTACAAGTGGCAATGGGAGGCTCTGCCCACCCACCCAGATGCTTCTGCACATGCACAGAAGCGTTGCGCATGCGCGCAAACCCAAACCGGTAGTAAAAAAATTGACAACCCACCACTGATCCATTCCTCCTTGTTCTGTTGGGAAGGTGAGTCAGATTATCCTTATATGTATAGATTACAATAACTCTTGGGCTTGTCTTGTCATGCCCGAAAGAGGAGTGATCACAGGAGTCGCTTTCTGCTCAGCTTTCCTTCTTCAACATACAAATCAGTTTAATGGGGTTTTCTGTGGAGCTCAACACCATGACACAGTTACATTTTTAGAGATTTGAGAGCAACTGACTTGGATCTCACATGTGAAAGAAGCTCCATTTTGACTACAGTTCACTACTTTTAATTTAAGTCAGGAAAAGGAATTAGTTGAAATATCCCAAGAGTTACTTGAATGTTGGAATTTTCCTACTCATTGTTTTTACTCCTCTTTTCTTTAGTTTCCTGTAGTTGCACCGTTGTTTTTATAATAAAAAGGTTTCTTCAGTTGAAGCATTGAGGCAATGACCCATAGTAATATACATGGATCAAGGATATGTGTCCCAAGAGTCAGAAAATCTGAGCTCATGATAATAATAAGTAGGTGGTGAGATACGATGTGGAAAAATACCTTACATTAAAGAGCTCAGCTAAATGTACATTAGCAGATGTTTTTAAGCAAACATTTTGGAAGAAAATTAATGTTCAAGATACAACAGTGTGAAAGAAGCCTTATGACAGAAATTATATTCCATCTGGAGAAAAGGTTCCTTTTCTTTTTATATGACTTTGTTTTTCTTGAAGAAAAACCTGCTATTTTGAAGACAAAGTCTGCAGAAATACAGTTTTGTTTTGTTTTTAAAACTGCTCAATGCTAGGAATTTCCAATTCTGGCCACTATATTCTTAATAACTTCAGTGTTCCTCCAATACCATCTTGGGGAAATAAGTAAAACAATAAATAAATAAATTGGCAGGTATAGTGTGTTCTTGGCAAGAGATTTCCTTCGGACTATAGCATAGAAGTCATATTCATTGACCTTCTTTATGGTATTGTTATTGACTATAGGGCCTTTTCTCACTACTGTTCAGTTTCAGATCCATTTATCATTTATTGATAGTCAAATAATTATATCAAATAAAGAGTAAAATAATACAGATTATAGCAATACATAGAACTATTCAGTGAAATAATCATATAAGGTCATCACCATGGCAATTGATCCCAATCTATCCTTTCAGTTGGATGACTTGGCAGTCTTTCTTACTGCCCATTTGCTTGTACCTTGAAGGAGATTAATGGTACCCCGATGGGCTGTCCTGTCAGTTAGTAACCTTTAATGCTGGGATGTGGCTGAAGCATATAGTTGGAAGTCAAAGAGGATAATGACAAATGTCGTTTATTTCTCTCTCTCTCCCTCCCTGTCTCCCCTCCACCCTGCCCTTTCTCTCTCTCTTTCTCCATCTTTCTCCTATCTGGATAAGGTATGATGAAATCACTGTTGTTTTGCTATAGAATCCATGAACTTAAATCTTGTTAGGGCTGTCATTTCTAGTTGAAAAATGCTCTGGGACAGTCATTTTAAGGATTTGATGTTATCTAGTGTCTCTATGTCAACTTGAGCACTAATATCCAAGACCCTCTGTTGAAAATGTCTTCGATTTGGTAGATGACTGGGATGAAATATGGAAGTGAAAATCCATAGAATATGACCTTAGGAAGCAGAATGTTGATAAATGCATTAAGTAACTTTGGCATGTGGACAGCCTAATAGAGGAATTCTGGGATGTCATGGACCTAGATATTAAACAGCATCCTTGTCTAATACTACTAGTAGTAGGAATGTTGTGTGTTAGGGTGCTATTTATTCTTGTAAGGATTTTCAGAGGGCCTTAATCAGGCATAGGAGACTGGGTTCCATGTCTAGATCTACCAATTCCACAGAATGACTCTGTTAATAGAATCAAATGCCATACTTAGGTCAACAAGGCCTTTCTCCACTACTGAATTAAAATATTATCCCCCATTTAGCACAAAACAATATTGTCATAACATTTCTAACCACCACCAATCCCTTTCCTGCCTCTGTGACATCTGTTCTGAATCACTTCCTGCCAAGTGGTTGGTTTGTGGGGACGTGCCCTCTATTATGGTAAAATGATTGGTGTTCCCTTCTAGCCAAGTTGCTGTCCCATTTCAGCACATCACCAAGCGGCAGGGAGCTCATTCCTACTGATGGAATGGGGTAAGTCCACTTCAATAATTCTGGTTGTCTTTCCTAAGCTGGTTTTTCTGCCCTTCTCCCACATCCCATTTGGGCACCTCCCAACTTAAAAGAATATGAAATAAAGAAATAAAGAAGACTCTGGGACATAAATTGCTGGAGGGTGGATAGAGGCAGACTTTGACACAATTGTACAATCAGTGAAGTCCCGTAGTTCTAAGAATTGAAACTGACTAGCTGGGTAACAAACCTGCAGCCATACAGTCAAAGTGTTATCCTACGTCCTTGAGCTGGCAGAAAAGTATATTGCTATAAAATTTCCTTCAATTGCTGAGTCCTATTCTGTCACAATGACAAAGCTGGAGTCTTATCCTATTCTTATTATTTTAATGTGAGAGATGGCAAGAAAATGGACTGGATGATTTCCCAGCTTCATTTCCCCTTCCATTAAGTGTTGCCTACCAGCTGAAGACCCCTTTCCATAGCCTTCCCTAATGTGTGGTATGAAGAGGTTAGGCCAACAGACAGGTGTTTTGTCCAGCACATTAAGCCATCTGTTTTTGCCCAACCAACAGGTCCTAGGGAACCTGGACTGGGGGACCTGGAGTAGGAGGCTGGATTAAACAGGAAGGAAGAATCACTAATTAGCAAACTCCATCTCCAGACAGGGCTGCCCAGGATTGGCTGTGCTGACAGAGACCAGTGCATGGTGGCAGTATCTAGAAATAGATGGTGGGTAAACATAGGACTGAATAGAGTAAGTGAAACAATCCTCCTCCCTCAATAAGAAAAATAGTAAAAACATGGCCCTGCAACCATTTTGTTGGCAGAAGCAGTAGAAAGCTTGTAATTCCATAGCAGTGACCCAACTGAGACCATCCAATTCCAGTGTAAGCTGAATTTTATCCAGAATGAAGTAGACTACTAGAACTTTCACACTGTTGCTGTTTTTTAAGTGAATTGTAGGTATAGCACTGTTTCAAAGGAGCATTAAAT